CATTTTGTTTTTTTTTTCTTCTTTATGGATTCACATCTATCCATATAGACATGGCATCTTATAGACATGAAGAAGTAAATGGCAAACTGTTGACTACTGCATATTTACCGAAATGTTAAAGGTACAGAGTAATCGGAACAGGTGCGTATGCTGTATACGATTGATTTAAGAACAGATTCGAAAATGTGGCTTGAAGTTTATATTAAAACATTTAACGAAAAAATTAGAAAAAGGAAATTATAAAATAAAATATTCTGAACTATTCTATGAGCGTGAAAGAATATCAATAGACCAAATAACCCCATTATTACTTTTAAAACTGCATCCAGCCTAACGCTTGCAAAACATGCACACCGTAGATAGTGCTTTCAGAATTGCAGATCTTGTAACAAAATTTTAACCCACCTATCACATAAATAGGGTGTACGCTGTAAAAAAAGAATTTAAAAGCATCCCTGTCCCTTAACAATGAGTTCATTGTTCATTAAACAAGAAAGTATCATGTGGCAAAGAACAAAAGCATTAAGGTTTATAACGTAGATGACCAGGAAGTATTTGAAAAAAAAACCAATAAAATTAAAATGAATCCCATCAGAACATAAGAAAAGTCTTTGTGATCCATGGAACAATCCATGTAACATTAAGTGTTACGTGAGTCTAGAATTTTACAAATTAAATTCTTTTATAAATTCTGTTGACTGTTATCACTGCGTAGTATATTTGTTTCTCAGTTAATTATATAGTTATCATGATTGAAGAATTCAAGTGTAAGAATTCAATACTCATTCCATATTTTCTTGCGAAAAACAGGAAATTCTGACAGGAAATGGTACTACGCAACATATTTAGAGTAGTATTCGTCTGAGAAAACATTGTTAGCTATCGTTGCTGTTGAAGTAAAAAAAAAAATTAAAGGAAAGTCGAAATAGCTCAAATGGAATTCTTTTTCATGCACCAGCGTTCATAATGATAACGGAAGTTTTATATACTTTCATGATCTCTGACCGGTAAAGAGAACTCTAAAAAGGAATTCTACACAAAAATAATAAAAATAAATTGTAATTTTAACTAAAAAACTCTGAACACATTTTCCCAAAGCAATGTCAACATTAAAAATTTTAAATAATATCTAAATAATTAAGTGTTTCAATAAAAATAAATTGAATAAAATTAAAAAACTAAAAAAACGAATAATGAAAAATTCATAGAATCCTAAAAATTCTTTAGTTATTTGTAAAATAAATTCATTTTAGCAGGAATATATCTTATCATCTATATAAACCTAGCTACAAAATACGCTCTTGACGTACATACATTCAATGTGTCTTTTTATTAATTTTAGTTATTCTTACGACTATAAATATTGTAATTAAATGAGTTTACTGGATTTTTCTAATACATTTTAGTTACATTGATCATTATTTCATAATCTTAAGTTTAAGTTTAGCTAAAATAATTCATTCAATATCATCTAAAATCCATGATTCAGTTTGGTTGTTGCAAGTTTCATTTCATATGTTTAGAAATCTAAAAATGCTGACAATCTTACAACATAAGATATCTTTCAATGTAAGATATGTCGATTATTAAAAAAAAACATTTCTTGTTCTTTTGATTATGTAAATAATATTCATTATTCTGAGGTTAATTCGAATGAATGATTTTGGTGGTTAAACTTTTACAATTTGATTTTTAATCAAGTTTTTTTTTGTATAACATGTAGTTGCATCGTTTTAAATATTAGGTATAGTCCTGTGTTAAGTTTAAATAAAATTCAAAAATATTTATGCCAAATTGTAATTTGCCACTTAAAATTCTCAGCGGGATGCTCATTGCACCGTTACCGGAAGTGTCAGTTCCACCGTATAATATGCGTGACATTTTTGTCGTGATGCTTTTCTGTTGTAAATTGTAAAAAGAGCAAATTATAAGAACACAAAACACAAAATACAACTTAAAAGATACAATGTAGAATATGCAAAACGAAACGAGTAAAATAAAATAATATTCAAAACGCTGCTCCAATGACGCATGCACATATTTTCCCACTGAGATTCGTTTGTGCATGGGCAACATTTCTGCAGCATTGACATCTCGTTCGTACCTTGAAGTGAGAAACTTCTGCAGCTGGTGCATCGTATCTTCTATTATATATATAGTTAGCACTTCAATTTTATTCTTTTTTTAGTTTTCATTTGCAATAGTCCCTTAACAAAAGTTTTACTTAGTCTCTTCAAAGCAAACTTATGGATAAAAAATTTGTGTAAAACTTGAAATCCTTATGGAACCGTTAACTAATAGAAGGAAAATATTATTGAAAACAGTATGAACTTTTTGTAAAGTGGATTTCGGAGTTCATAAGGATACTGAGTGACTAATTGGATGGTTTCATGTAATACTTTTAAGTCCTTTTATGTGGTAGAGAGTAATTTAACAATGTTCGCTTCGCCAGCTCTCTTTAAATTTCTTTAAAAACTCTTTAAATTATACTTACATTGTAAATATTTGAGAGTTTAGTATAAATTATTATTATTCAAGATTTTGGCGGTCTATGTTTCTATTTATCTGTTCTTAGTTCTAATATAGCACTGGGAGTCACTGCTGTCTGCTATTTAAGTTTTAGGCACATGTAGCATCGTCACCGTGGGCAGAGATTAATTGGAATTTTGTTCTTGTTCGTATTCTTACATTTTTTATATGGCTATAATTTAATATATCTGTATTATATCGAAACCCGAAAGCATTAGTTTCAATAGTAAATGAATGGAACATTTGGATTTCAAAGTTTTAAGAGAACAACAATCCGCTTGACTTCAAGATGATCGATTTTCTTGTTGAATAACAAAGGAAGAGCAAATGAAGACGCAATTATTTTTTATATTGTATGGAATGAATTTATGACTAAAGTTATATAAAACTGCTTATTTGTATAATATTTTATAACCCAAGTTTAGGAACTATATAACAAACTATCAAGAAATCATATTAAGCAGGAGGGTTATGGCGATGTTGAACATAGAGAAAAGTAAAATCACTAGCAAATACAAAATTTAAGACTATTGTGATATCTATGTAATTGATAAATACTTTATATCACATAGTTACAAAAAAATCAAAAGAAAAAGAAACAAATGCAAAAATACTAACCGATTATGAAACGTTTAAGAACGGATTAAACCCGCAAAATATTAGATTGAGAGTATCGTCAGCGGTTCTTGCACAAAACATGCTTATTTGCATCTGTAATAATTTTCAACCTCAACACTTTTCTATCTATATAAAAAACGTACAAGAAGAAATTGGAGTACATCAATGTTCAATGAAATATTGATATTTTCAAAAAAACTTATATTTAGAAATAAAATTTTGTGGTAATATTTTTTCATCAATTTGGAAGTAATGAACTATTTGCCAATATCACTGTATCTGTAGCTACTCTGTAATATAAATATTTTTTTATCGCCTTATTAAGGATTTTCAATGGGTGATTCTGTATTGCTACTCATATTAGTTATTAGTTCAGTAGGTTTTCAAGTTTTACAAGGCACAATATTTACTCATTAAGCAATATTTTTTGGTCTTAAAATTTTTTTCTTCACGTTTTAGTATATAAAATAACTATATGAGCAAATAGTAAATCAATTAAAAGTTAATTTTTTAGGAAAAACTATGATATCAAGGAGCCTGATGAGATACATGCATATAAACCTATCCTTATACAATAGATAAATATTGTTTATTATTTGGAGTATTAAATATTGTATTAAATCTAATAAACACAAACCAGGAAAATAAAAACGAACTCATTTATATACAGTTTTTCCTAAGTAATTTTGCATATTTAAATTAAAATAAATATACAGAAACCCCTTTAAATTATAATTATATTATTAATCGTTAATTTGTTTCAGTTTCCTCTACCTAAAGTCTAACCTAAAAAATATGACCGCATCTAAATGGTACTCATATTTTATGGATACCTTTATGACTACATTAGCGACATCCTCAGTTTATTTGTGTATTCTCCAGCTCAGTGTTGATTGTAGTAATAAAAGTTAACCCTAAGGGGCGACTGAGACATTTTTTATTCGTTATGAACATAAAAATACTGAAATGCCAATAAGTATGCAATGAAATTTTGCCACATATGAGCGTATCTTTCATATATGTCATTCTCAACGTAACCACGCAATAACGAGACAAATTCACACAAACAAATTCTTCCAAACGGCTATTGCAATTATTTCGTTGCTCTGCTACAAAGGACTGGAGACAGAAACTAATATAAGAACATTTAACTCGTTGGCAGCTATTTTGTTCGCATTATGCTGGTTTGTGTACGACGGAGCAGCATATGTTGCCAATGCCGGTTGAAATTTGAAACAGTACTTTTCCATGCCTAAAATCACATTTGACTTCTGTTGTTTGTGAGTTGTTTTGTTTTTTCTGATTAAGTTGTTGTTCCGCCCGCGAACGTTTAATTCACCAAAATGAAATCATATCTCGTTTTCCCATATTTTTGCATATTTTTCCTTCGTTGCGGAAGAAATTGGGAACTGCTTAGATTTGTAAACGTTTCATTTTTCTGAACTATTGTTTGGCTTCCCTTAGTTCATAGTTTTCTTTTTTTGTTTAAATGATAGATAGCAAATAAAAACGATGGGAATTAATTAAAGGACGTTAATAATTGCGTCCTTTGGAAAACGGGAAAAGTAAAGTAGAAGAAATGTGAAAATGAATGATGCCGCGGCTAATGAAAAAGCAAAAAAAAAAAACAATAAGAAACCATGTTTTCAAGTAATTGTATTTGAAATTTAAAACTATATTATAAACCAAAGAAGTAATTTAACATAACAGTGCCTTAACTTAAAAACTTCACGATAAGCTTTTTTCTGATTTATTTAACAAAGAAATACTTTAACAAATTTTAAAACATTTGCTTATTAGATGAACTAAAACTTAAAATAATAAAAATATATTAAACAAGTAAGGGGGTGAAAATGAATAATGTGCTTTGTGAAATTAAGTAAATAAATAATTAGTATTATTCTGTTTTACAAATTTTTACCTTAAAATCATTTGCATTGACAGAACTAAAATAAAAACTAAAAGTTATAATTATAACGTTATAATTTTGTAAAACTGCGCTAACAAACATGCAGAAGCAAATCTCAACAGCATTGGAAAAGTTTACTTTTGTTTTGAGTGGTTCACACATTTTCCGGTTCTGGTAATTTTCGCTCGCAACAATGACATACAAGCGCACTCAACCGCTGACCAATGGCTGACCAAAGTGTCATCGATATGGATGAGACGTTGCAGCTTGAACTGTGTTGCAATTGCTGCAGTGTTCCTTGTTGTTCCTGCTGTTGCTGCAATAGTGCAGCAAATGCACCATTATTTGAGAGCGAATTCGTAGTTGTTTCTGAGCTCCCCCGTTGTCAAATTTTTGGCGGATCGGAAGAAGAAGCACTGACCATACCCAAATCAATGCTAAGACTTGGTTCTGCTTCGCCTAGGTTAGCAGGCGTAATTACACGTGGTAGACCCGTAGTAATAAGAATTGTGTCACTGGCATCAATACTGCCAATACGTATGGGAGGAGGTTGGCATGTTGGCATTTCACTACCAATACCACCACTGCTATGCAAAGTATTGTTACTGTTGTTGTCATCAGCATAAGCGCCGTCGTGACGGGATGATTTGCGACTACTGTCACCACCACCGCCACTGCTGCTACTATACCGTGGATTGCTTCGACTGCATGGCACATCGAGACTGTAGGCTCTCAATCGACCAGCATTGATTATATCTTGATGTGTTGGGTGCTTATGTCGTAAGCCTGGCGACTGCAAATTATTCGAAATGGTACAACAGACACTCGGCTTACCGGTTAGTGGATCGATTGTGCCACTGATTGTACCCTGAGTTATTGCGTTGTTATTACGTATCGAGCATGGACTACTTCGTGTACTGCCAAAGCGTTTGGAACTTTTATCAAATGAAAAACCAAAATAGTCAGAAAATTGCTTCAAACGCGTTTTCCAACTAGTTTTGGTTGTAGCTGTAGTGGTACTTCCAATAATGGAACTTATGCCATTTGAATTAGCTGTTGATGCGGCAGCTGCAGCAGCTGCCGCGCAGCAATGCTGTTTCAATTGTAGTGCTTGTGTAGGTGAAATATTTCCATTGGATGATGTGTTTATATTGTTGAAGTTTGCTGCGGCAGTGGTGGTCATTGGTAGCGTATTTTGAGAGTTGGAACAATCAATATTTGGCACTGTATTGGGATTCACCTGCAAAGGTCCAGTTTGCATTGAATTAACAATACCTGTGGCATTCATATTTAGATCTTCTACTAGTCGACATACGCCCACTGTTGTTTCAATACTGCCACGATTTTGATGATTATAAAAAACGTTACTATCTGAAATGACTTGTTGCAGGCCATCTGACAGACGACGGTTATTTGTACTATACTGATCTAGACTAACAGCACGATTTGAACCAAAGTGACAACGATTTGTGTGATATCCATGAATGTTGCCATACGAATTACGTATGCGTTGGCCACTGCCACTGCTGCACATTTCTCCAATCATTGAGGGACGTTTTTCACGTGATGGCTTTCGTGACGTTGAGTGCGATGATTTTGATCTGTTGCTACTTCCTTCGGTGTCCACTTTAAATTTCGATGTTTTTTCAGCTACCTGCATATAGACAATGAAAAAATATTATTAAACACAATTTAAAATTTAGTTCATAATATTAAGAATTTCTTTCATTTTTTTTTAAAATAAGTAATGCTTATTATAAATAAATATATAATCCAAAACACATTTTTCTCCTCCTATTTTCCCGGTTACAATATATTTTATGTTTAAGAATAAACAAAAAAGAGTTAAATGTAGTATTCAACTAGTAATCTAACAAAAAATATTAATATTTTTTAATAAAATGATGTCAAATAAGAAAAAGGTAATGCAAACCAAAATAAGAATACGAAATATGTATATTATATTAGCCTCTTAGTTTTTACATTATAAAGAAATTTATAAAAAGTTTACAACTATTTGTATTGTGCTGAACGTGCTTTGAAGTCTATATAAAACACAATTTACTGGATTTTGGAATAAAATTTTGGGATACACTAGTGAGGACAAAAATATTTACAATCATGTAGTTATCTTTACGAAATTCAGGTTGGAATTCTACTAATGTTATTATTGTCTACTCAATTCTCAATTTTATTATGCAGAAGGCTTGAAATATTTTTGCTGATGAATTTAGAAATGCCATTTCTTTATAATTTCCAACATTATTTGCGTCATTTTGTTTTACTATGGGAGATGGAACTTTATTGCTGTTTTGATGGTACTGCATTTTTAAATATGAAATTGTACGTTTCAACCATTCACTACATAAACTTAGGAATAGCATATTTCACGCACTCAGCTAGACTTTATCTTTTTTATTATTAGAATCTTGAGCACGGAATAGGCTTCCTCATTAAATATTGGAGCATCTGTCTTCACAGCGCACAGTTGAATAACTTGTTGTCTATTTTACTTTTTTAACTGGTTTTCGAAATGAGAAGCCAAAAATTTGGTATCTAGTTCAATTCATTTCATGTGTTCTCCACGCTATCAGTTGCGTGAGATATAATATTTATAATATGTCTTTCTTTTTTTTTTCACACAACACTTTATATGCTCTACTTATTCTTACTCTTATTTATCTAAATCTGCTAGTTCACCTCCATTGATTCATAATGCAAGCCTATATTAATAAATTTGTTCTTATAACTTCACATTCGCTATCATATCAATTTTGCTTCATATTCATTAGCAACAAATTACCCTGAAAACACTCTGTTGCTTATTTCATACAATTTTATAGGATATCATCTTCACCATTTGATATGAATGTACTTTCTTCGCATGCATTTGAGATTCATTGAAATTGTGTTTGTACAGATCCATTAATTGTATCTGTCTTTCGATATAAGTTCAGGTAACAAATGTATTTTAGTTTTATTCGAACAATTACTATCCACATTTATTATTACGGTTGATGGTCGCAGTATATCATGTCGCTTACTTGAAAACGTTCAACTATTCTCAGCCGCACTATTTCATAAAACAGTAATCCTACATTCATCTTGATACACCCCTAATGAACACCACACTGGCCATTTAACATATACATAGGAAAAAAAGGAGATGCAATGTTCCAATAGTTATTTGTCATTTCTGTCTTCAACTTTGTCTATTGTTCTAAATATCTGTGATCAGATATTTTAAAGCTTCGCATACTCGCATAGATTTTAAATATTACTCTTCGCCTATATGCGCATTGGAGTCACCTACTATTATCACATTTTCATTTCAAGTTTTTACCAATAGATCACATAAATTATTAAAATCATTTTGTCAATTATTACTATGTAATTAGCTAACAAGAATTAAGTATAATTCTCTATCGAATATTGATTATAACATTCCCACTTTTGCTTTAATCGACAGCCCTTTAATTTTCCTGCTGTCCGGATTTCTATCGATTTGTACTTGTTCAATTTGCAGTCCAAGAATTTGATTTTCGAATCCAACTTCTCGTTTTTCTATGATAGATTGCTAATTTGTTCTTTGAATTCATCTACGTCGCTATTCGATGCTAGCGTAGCTATTTGTAAGTTAAAGCTCTTACTCGGGATTTTATTGTTGCATACCAGTTTTTCTGATATTTGCTGAATAGCTTGGAGACAGTTTCTATTGCATACGTAGTTCTTGTCGATGACTTTGGCTATTCGATTAGTCTTGAACTGGCCGAATGGCGACGCGTTTTGTGTGTCCTGTTGGTAATCTCTGCAGCGGCATTTTTCGATATACTTGAAGTAAGGTTTTGAATTTCTATGTTCTTTTATTTTAATAAGCTTAATGTGCCTATACATAGACACAAACAACTTTGAGCTGTGTGATGAACATAACTTAGTTTATTGTACACCGTTCAGAAGCCCTTTTGTTTATGTTTGACATCTACTGTTGTTACATAAAAGTTTAGTTTGTTTATGAAAGTCTCACAAAGTAAATTTTATTACTATTAAATTTTATCACCTCATACGAACGCGTTGTGATGAGGAAAGCTTTTTTTATTATTACTCATCAATAATTTCTTATTAGGTTCTGTCTATTTTACTTATGTTTTTTTAAAAACTTATCAGCATAAATTTTTTAGATGTATTTCACAAGGGTTCTATTCAAAAACCACTGAATTAGTATGATATATATTAAAAAACGAATATTGCTAAAGTATAAGATAATGGCTTGGTCCTAAGACATAAGTAGAATACAGATTAGCACTGTAAATATTATTATATTAAATATTATCGATACGACTGAAAAAGTGGTAATAAATCTGTTCAAAAATTAATTGTAAATATTGCTTGAAGACAAATGAAAAATTCTTCTTAAAACACTAAAAGCTATATCAATTTATCGAGAGGATTTCTATCCATTAGAATAAATGCAATTATTCTATCTCATATAAAAGCACAAATTCAGAGTAGGCATCAGGGTATAGATAATTACTAATTAAGAATAATTAAAATAAAATTCAATTTTGGCATTATTAAGTTTGGTATTTTATTCAACAATTTTTTAGATATTTATTAAATATTTTTTTTCTGTTAAAAGACGTGTTTAAAGAAAGCAGTTCATATCTAGTAACGAATTTTACAGTCATTAAATGATGTAATCTATTGTGTGATTATTGCACCTTTATCTACAAAGATAAACATTATATTGTGTCTCTTCAATTTTAAGACATAAGTTAACTGATAACATGTTGAAACCGTTTTATCTTGAACTAAGTTACATTCTACTTTTAGATTAGGAATAAATTCTCGGTCGCGATGCTTCACGAAAGCTTTTGAAAACGCTCGCGTTAGTCAAAAGCTGCCTTGGGTAATGCTTGGGTAATTAAACAGAAACTGTTTAATTAATTTACTTATTGGTCCAAGTAAAAAATTTATTGTCAGTGGAAAATAGGTTAACGGAATAAATCCCAGGGATATGAGTTTGAAATGTATTATGCTGTATTAATTACGGTTGCAAACAGCTTATAAAAAGTGGTTAGAAACATAATTTTTAAATTTCATGTTCTTACACAGATGGAGTGACCTAGAGATATGCAATCATTTCTAATTGTAGGCTGAGGCAAACCGTTTTGTAATGCGAAACGTGGCAAATGTATACTTAATTGTTACAAAGTCTTTATTGTTTTCGTAGCTCTTGTTTATTTTGTTTTGTACTTTACATATTTTTGCCCATAAAAACACAAATACAACTGAAAGCAAGACTGAGCAACTTGAGATATTTACATTTAGGGTAAAACATTACAAAATACGAACGTAATTTAATTTTATGAAAAAATATAACACCCTTAACAAGACTCAGAAGGTTATTAAATTAGGATTTTGTTATAATAACCGTAATTAAAAGCCTTGGGGATGAAAATAAATATCCGAAAATGAATCTGAAAAACATAGGAACAACTATTTGATACTGTCAAACATATAAAAACCATTGTGGAGCAAATGTTAGAAATCATTAATTAAATTAAATAAATTTTAAATGATTGTGTTTGAAAGTATACCTATATTTGAAATAAAATAATGAATTATGTGAGATGTATAGATAGACCCAATTTCTTTAATAAAACATAAAAAAAAATTATATGAATTATTGTGGAGATTCCTATTTTCTTGATGTCGCTATTTGGCAAAGAATTTTGGTAAATTTCAATATTAGAGCTAATTTTTCTTGTTGGGTTAATTGAGACATGGGGCTTTAAAGTTGTAAACCGTATATAGTAATTATAATTATGAAAATTACACACATCTAGTAATATCAAATATTCATATAGCTTACACGGTTCACAACAACTAGAGGCGTCAGATATGCATTCATTCATTGTTTATGTCTTTAACATGATAATATATAACTTGTAATTATGTACACAAATTTGTTTTCAATCAAATTTTTAGTTTTAAAAACTTTATTTTAAATGTATATATATAATTTAAGAACAATGGTGACATTTAATTTTTTAAATATATACTAACCTAAATTAACCACTATATTCCGAGATTGAAAAGTGTTGATATGTTTTGCTATTCTATTTATAGTTTCCTATTTCTGATCGTTCTATATCAGAACCGTAAAATATATAAAACAATTACTACGTTTCCGTAACATATGGCTTTTCTAAATTATGCTAATCGAAACAGTTGTAGTATAGGACAACTGAAAAAACTTTTCCATATCCCAATATAGTATAACTGACATATATTGATGTACATATATCAACTTAGAAAGAGTAAAGCAAAGTATTGAGATCTACCAAAATCCTTTATCTAATCGTGGCGTACGGGAAATTTAATCATTCCAAAATTTAAGTAATATGCTAAGGAGTAGGAGTATTTTAATTAGGAGTAATTAAAGATATATTATCATAAAAATTTTTATTACATGATGAGATTCTTTTCGTTTATTAGTAAACAGCGGCGTTTTTAATAATATACGTTTTAGTCTTTTGAAATAAAATATATTATATATATTCTGTGCAAAAACTATCTGAAATTTGAATAGAATGTAAAAAAAACATTATGACATGTTTGAGTTCAAAATGTTACTCAGTCTATTGGTATCATTTACATATGCAATAATACTTTTAAATACTCAGCGGTGGCAATCGTTTTTAGTTAAAAACTCAACAAATGCAATCGACCAAAAACCGTACTTACCTGACTTGGTCTCATACGACTTTCTTCTCTTCCCATAACTGAGATTATTACTTCGATTAGAGTGTTTCAAAACTTGCGATCATTAAAAACAATTCGCTGAAGTAGCTAAAGGCTACTTCAACTACGAAAATTTATAAAGAATTGAGTGACGCGATAGTATAGCTGTATTGCATTTAATCTGTTTTTGTTTTATTTAATAATTTCGGATATTTTTTACACAGAAATCTATTAAAACTAAGAACAAAATACTAAAGAAAATACAAGAAATTATGTCATTTGGAAGATTCCAATTAAGATGCGAAAAAATATTAACAAATAATACAATAATAATACTAGCAATCTTAAGGATGTAAAGATAGATTTAAATAAGATCTAAAAGGAATAACCTGTAATATATTTATATTATATATTTATGTAGTATATGTATTTACTTACATCCACCTCGGTTGCAGTTTCCGAATCACCGCTTTCGCTGCCCTCTGGCAAGTCATGTAATTCGGCTGCAATACACTGTGGCTCATCTACTGAAGTTCGTGAAGTGGATTTTTGTGATGGAATACTCCGGCGGGACTTCACACTAATACCCGATTGTGACCGTGGCATTTGTGGTGAAATACTGCCACCGGAGTTATGACCACCACCAGCTGCAGCATGTGCGGCACTATTGCTACCAACACCTACAGGCGTTACATTATCCGAAGCACCACTATTATTTTCAGATGCTGCAGCTGAACTACATTCGGCAACGGATTTACGTGACTTATTTTGAGCATCGTTTAGGCGTCTGAATAGAGAGTTCATAGGTAAAAAATTCAAAAAAAATATAATTACTTTACTTGTAATAATCCAGCGCTACACGCACTGGTATAATTATAAGTTCAGTCAATTCGGGAACTAATTCACCCAATGCTTCAAACAGTGGCAATAGTACTAAGCCAATAAAACGAACTTGTGACCCAGGTTTGCTGACCTTATCGGGATCCATGAAAGGCGTCACTGGTAAGCCTTCAGATTTTTCTGCAGCACTTTGTGCAAAAAACTCTTGCAATAAACGATCTAGCCAAGGTTCAGCAACATCCATTGGTCGTGCCTCGTTGGATATATCCGCAACTTTAATAAGTACCATACATAACTAAGGTAAATAAAAATTAAATAGAAATTAACACTTTAGGGTTAATAATTTATTACTAAATTAATATGTCCCCGATTTCCGTAATCAAAAACTGGTGATATCTCCTTAAATTGAGTTAAAATTTCATTATGTCGCGCCATATCAGTAGCCAATATGCAGCGTATAATTCCTTCTCGTATTTGGCTAAAAATAAATATATTAAATATACATTTATTTGAAATATCGTAGTGTATGTTTAGAGTTAAGTTTTTAAAAATACTGACTTAATTTATAAAGAATCAAGAAGAAAATAATTGCCTTTGTACTTAATTAACTTCATTGGCTTACTTTCTATTTTTAAATTTTGTATTTAAAGCAAATTTATTATTCAAATAAATTTCCTTTTTAGAGAAAATACAAATATCAAGTAGAAATAAATACTAATATGAAAGGAGTTTTCTGTCATGCAGGCAAGAAAATACACTTTGTACTACTGAAAATTGAAAAATGGCGCAGGGAATCGGAGGAAAATTGATTTTATCATGTCAAAATGTCGCATTAACAGAACCAGAAACAGCTGAATATGCACCTGAATATACAGCTGAATATGCAGTTGAAGAGAGTATAAAAATTGACACCAGCAACTCATCTATTTTCAGTTGTAAGTCGCAAGGAATATTCTGCTATATGTACGCGTTTCCGTTACGTGCAATTTCTCGAAAATGTCGGTGCTTCAGTGAACACAAATTGCACTTCAGCGGACTTATTGAAGTAGGTATTATGGGTAGTATGGGTAGTTGGGAGCTCCACTACAGCTTTTTAACCAAAAACACTATCTACTTATAGATAAAAAGTATATTGTTCGTTGTATGCGGTGCGAGGTATTACAATTTTTACTGTGCAAACTTCGCACTTTCTGCGTTGCGTTGAAAATATATAAAATTTTCTTTATAAACAATTTATACTTCTTATCCTTGCTTATGCACAACGCTTTTACATATTATGTTTTACAAAACACCAACCAAGGTCCAAAGTATACATCAATCTTGAAAATAAGTGTTCATAGTGAAGCCGCCTTGTAATAGCAATTACAGGTATAGGTTAGGAAGATACTTAACTGAAAAACTATTAAAATTTAATGTCTTTTGGGCGAACATAACATAATCTGGAATTTGAGGCAATAATAATGCGAATTGGATGTCATGATTCAACAAATTAAAACTGCAGAATTTATAGAAATCCATTATTTCAAAAGTAAAATATCTAACATAACTACCTCAAGAACTAAAGGATTTAGTAAACACTTTTTTAAGAAGTGTACTTTCACAAAAATTCAAAATTCAACCAAGGGATATGTATGTTTCTTATACATACTAATTCTTTGGAAGTTTCAAAATCAAATTATAATCTAAATTAATCTGTTAATTGGGCTTTATCTCCCATAAACCTTGAAATTTGAATATATGTTTATTTAGGTTAGTGAACAAATCAGTGTAAATGGTAAATGGTATTCATTTAGCATTTCTGACTTGAAAACATTATTTTAGTATTATATTTATTAAAAATATCAACGTATATTTAGTTAACAATATGGATCATGAACAAAGATGAGACCCATTTTCCTCTAGATGGATAGAAGCAAAAACGTTGCATCTAAGCCAGTGGAAATTGAATACATACTCTAGGAGCACAATAAGTGAAAGTGAGTGAAAGAACAAAATGTAAACAATTATATACGGAGAATCGCCGATGATAAATATTTAGTTGCACCCGAAACAACTATGTAGTCAGCAAACACTTCACTCAACTGGAAAGTAAATTTTTGGTCTTGAATAGTGAATTAATTATTGCCTTACAGATTCGCAGTAGATTTCTTACAGATTTCTTAGGACATAAACATTTTAATTTCAAATAATATCAAGAGGTTTGATCAAATACTATTTCTGTGTGTAAATTGGGTTTATGTATTAACACATAAGCCCACCATTCAAATTTGAAAGGATTCAATTGCTAACACTTGCAGTTGACGGTTAATTAAACCAATAGATGTTTTCAAAGTCGGCTGGTGATGAAGTTATATGTTGAAGATAAGATTCTCAGAAAAAACAATGATATAAAGTAAATCTCAACAGGATTAGAACCTTAAATATCTTATATATAAAGCATTTTTTATTTTATTAATTTTAAATTACATTAACTTAAAAATCATTGAATTATTTTTATTATCCTAAAAATTTAACATGACAAGACAATTCAAAAAGGATATAAACAAGGAATATAATAAGCCACTTGGGTCAATTTAGCAATGAGTGTCATTATAATAAAATAAAATAGTAATAAAAAACAATAAATAAGAATGATTATCTGTTTGCTAATGTATAAAACATAAAATACCATGAAGCAATCAACAATTTATTTCGATTTTATGTAAAATAAAATCTCATAATCCGAAGGCGAAGTTTATTTGATTTGTATTAATTTGATTGACTTTAAGAGTACGACAACAACCCAATGTGTAAACACATAGAGTGAGCAAAAAGTACCTGTCGAATGCTTTCGAGATTTACTGCCATCTTAATAATGACAACTTCAGACAACTTCAGGCAGCTGCCTGCAATCGTTCAGATTTTTTTCAATGCGGCTACTTGAAAAGGAAGATCTGCGTTAACATAACGCAACGTATGCGGAAGATTAAAGATATTTCAAAAAATAATACAAAATGTTATGAGAAGAATCCTTACGTTCGTAAATCTTAATTATCAAAATTGAACAAATTTCTTGAAGTTTGAAACATTTGCAATTATTTTAGTTTTTTTAGTGCTTAATATTTTGTCTCAGCGGTATTGTTATATATAATTTACAACAGAAATTTTTTCCCCACCCACGATTATTTTATCGAATATTGAAACAATATTGACTGATCTAAGGTTGTTCCTAGCAATAATTGTCGGTTGCTAGGATTTAAAAATGTATTCACATTTCGAATGCCAAAAGTCGTATAATATTTTTTTTCTAATTTTATTTTTATTTTATGCTATTTGCTATTTGGCTTGAACTTTATTTTCCCGCTGTTATTTACTTTTAACTTTTCATTGGCACACCCATTTGCATTTGATTTTTACTCGCTTCGCTGTCGTTGCTGCCATTTTCTTGGCATATTCCACACAAAAATGTTCTCTTGTGTTTGATATCCTAGTAGTCATCATATTTGCGTTTGTTGGCTCGTTTATTGCTTTTCTTACATATAGTATTTTTTAATGGAAATAACGATGGCTAATTTTCCAACTGAACATTAATTTTTTTGACATCTAATATAGCAAGCCATCATGTAACAAAAGTTGAAGAGTCTGCAATTCCCTATAAAATTTGATCGAAAGCAATTCATACCCTAAATCTTGCAAAGAGAAGGAGGTGATAATGCTATACATAACGCCCAGCACGATTTATATAGTTAATTATTTACTAATTATAAAAATTATATTAATATTTTATATTCATTAGTTATTAATTATTAGTTAATGTATTATATTTATTAATCCTACTTCCAAGACATCCTTGTCATAATGTTATCGTACATTATTTTATATTAATTGAATGCCCGCTGTATACTGTGTGGTTTGCTACGTCTCACAAAAATAAAATGGTTGCCTTTGAATATTTATAAAACTTTGACACTGCGTATTTACAGTTTTATAAAACAATCTATTTTTAAATTTAGTTGACCAGTGTTAATACAATATGTATTTTTGGTACTTGAATTGTTTAGCCCAATTATAACTTTCTTGAACTTATAACTTTAGTTGAACCATCATCAGGGAAACTTTATAAACAAAAACTAAAAAGTAAAATAATATTAGAAAAAATCATTTGTCGACAAGTATTTCAAAAAATTACCTAAAACACCTAGATTTGTAGAAAATGTATATCATTATTATGCCCGATATAGTAATGCACCATACACCGTAGAAATATGTTACTTTCGGTATCTTGTTTAAATTGTAAATTAGTTTTGAAAGAATGTGTAAGACTTCCATAGCGAGTCGATGTGATAAAATAGATTTAGTATCGATAACTTTAAACGATACAAAATACGGGTAATGATTCTTATCATTAAAATAGGACACTACAGCAGATTAACCTTCCTCAGATTGTTTAAACTGTTTTTATGTTGGTTGATTCTTTTGAGTAATTGAATCTTTGAGTCAGTTATGACTGACTTTCAGTTAAAATATCGATCGAATACGTTCATAAAGGTGCTAGTTAATTTGTAACAGACCGGTTTTGGATTTGACATCACGTAAAATGTGAGCTCCTAAGTTAAAAATATTTACCTAATTATCAACTGATTGGCGCTTTCGAGTATATTCGTTGTACCAATCCTGCAAAATATTTCAATTTAATAATTTTTCGTATAAACGCAACCCTAAATATAAATGTCGTTTATCTAGTTATCTAGTTACTGAAGCGTACTTGACATCATTGCCAAAAATTTTAGTAGGATTAACACTAGTGAACACCAAATATTCAACTGCTGGCGTCGTCAATAAGATAAATTTTTATGCATTTAGATTTAAAAGAAATAATTTAGATACTTGCACATTATTTTTATTTACCAGCAATTACCAAATATGTAACAACTCCATTTTTAAGTTGGGAAGAGTTTAGGAGTTAATAACTTTTTGACAATGAAGAATATCTAAAATATATTATGAACTTCGTTCATAACTCAGATATGCCAATATTTGTTAAAGAAGTTTAAAATGCCCAACACATATTTTTTTAATTGTTTTTGGAAAATCTTGACGTTTAATATTGAAAGTAAGAGAATAAATTAATTAGAAAATCGTTTTTTTTTCACTAACTTTTCAACTATTAGACTCAAATTTTGTTGACTAATTGGAACGAAACTAAAACATTACTTGTATTCACGCTAGCTAATGCTCTTGTACCATTGCATTTGCACTGAATTATTGCTGACATTAATTTACAAAACCAAAACATGCAGATTTGTATTTGTCGCACACTGTTTAGACAATAGTGCTTGCTTGCAGCACTGTAATCCATGACAGCATATAAATAGCAGTTTGTGCTTGTTTCGTGCGCTTAGTAATGTGTAAAATTTGATTTCTAAAGGTACTGCAAACTTAATTTTTAGGATTTCTTCACAGAATTGTGTATGCAGGGCCAGGCGTTTTGGGTGTTATCTATTCCAGGAGCTATATCTTTTTTGTGTAATTATTTTTTATTGATTCAAATTATAAAAATTTGTGATAATAATCAAAATTTCAGAATCCATTAAAACGATCATTTTGAGAGTTTATGAACTGCTCAATGGGGATTTTCTCATCAGAGAACAGAATGTTTGAAAATTCGCCACGTTTGTTTAAGCTTAACAAATCATTTGTTCTTTCGAGTCTAACTTTTTGTTGCTTTGGTATAAGATCGTGTGCCTTTGGAACTTGTAAGGCTTTACCTTGAGCTCATTTTGAAATATGCGTTTGTTGCTTTGCTGGCATATTTTCAGTTCTTTGGCTATTTGATTGCCACTAAGACGTGAATTTTGTTCAAGTCGAGCCTGTACTTTCCGAATAAATTCAGGTGATGATGATGTTGCTGTTTTGGTCTACCATCATAGTATTTGGCGACGCTGCCTGTACTATTATAGTGATTTATGGTATGATACATAAACATCTTATTCACTTTTAAGTGTTGGAGATCACGAAAAATAGCTGCTTAAGATTTTCCAGCTAAATATAACGCAACCAAACTATTACGTTTGAATTCTATTTCGAATTACGTTTTTTCTGTAAATTTTTCTGTAAAGACGCAAATTCTTGTGGGTGCATGTAAACAATATAAAAAGCTGTCATTCTTATGAATTGTAAGTAGGTGACAATATCAGTTTGACAGATATATCTGTGTGTAGTTGGTAACACTTCAATCGCCTAACCCTTTATATGTCTTATAAAAGGGTTCATTGTCGTTCAATATTAACGTAAATACTGATAGCTGCATATATTTAAAACATTATGATACTATGTGATACTAAAACATTAGGGGTATGACCTAATTTTGAAATCAGTTAGTACTGAAATTAGTTGTAGTGATGACTTTATTGCTACATGAGTGCTTTGCCATACAGCAATAAAACATTTTAATCCATTTTATGGTGTACGGCTTATAAGTGGCACGTAATAGTGTCACCAAATTTAAAAAATGAAGACAGCAATACATTCGATTAACAAGGATCACTAACAACAGGTAGTGTTATTATAACTGACTATTGTTAGTGTTTAAAATAATTATATGTTGTGAACATTATTAACATTATTTTTGTATCTCAATATAAATCAACAAAAAAAATAGCACATTCTAGTTAGTATATCAAAAAAAAGCAGGTGTTAGGGTTTTATTCCGTTTTATTCCCACTATATCACTCTATTTTTGTATTCAATACTCCATTACTCGTATATATTACCAATACTTTAATTTTGAAATTAAATGTTAAGATTATAATTTGTGTTCTTTGCTAAGTTCATATTTACCGTTTTCATTACCGTTACCGTTTAATTTAAGTATTTGTTTTTATAAATATATTACATGTAAATATATTATATATATATAAACAATTTGAAAAATAAAACATATACATATATTGTTCGAAACTAGCAACCTCTGCGTTACATGCCAATGTTAAAAATAATTTGTTATCAATTCTGAAAATTTATAATTAAAAAAAAATTGTTCCACACTCACAAGCCTAGTGTAAAATGTTTATACTAAATTTGACAAGATTCGTCAAATTCGTATGTTACGTATATCAAATATATTTTTTATACATCGTCAGTTCGACAAGACGAATTAACGATGACGAATAGTCTGTCTCGCAGTTCGTCTGCCTGTAAGCTTTTGCTAATGTAAACCAATTTTCAGTTGTTGCGATTGATTTTTAGAGGAATGAATGCGATCTAAATGTTTTCATACTAACATACACATAGTCAATAAAGTCTGCGTACACCTTACGAATTTTGATATGTGATAAAGAAACACAATATAAATAAATATTTTAAATTAAAATTTTTACATAAATTTATTCTTTGAAATCTTAAGTTTAAATAGCAAAAGACAAAAATTGTATTCGTTTGTTCGTTCTTGAGATAACGGGATAAAAGTGTCCCTACATGTAAATATAGGCCCCATAAAGTCTGCGTACACTTTGTTTGTTTAGATAATACCATTAATTCTTAAGCAGTTTGTTCTTATTTTTGCTCAATTGGTATTATTAAGCATTTGAACTGAACATTTAGCGAGCTCAGTGATCAGTGATTAATTTTTAAGTAGTAACTATTTCCATACTATCCATACTATTTAAAATATGGAATCAAGGGGAAAAGAAATCAGTGTGCACGGAAGAAAAATAATTATTAAACTGTGGAAAGATGGAAAAAGTTTCCGAAAAATTGGTGAAACTATTGAAAGAACGCATTCATCAGTTCAGCGCGTAGTGGACAACTTCAAAAAAACCGGAATTTTAACATCTAAACCGCGTCCTTGGCATCCAAAAGTTTTATGAGTTCGAGAAAAGCGAAAAATAGTCCATATGATAAAAATAAACCCTCGTATTTCTTCTTCGAAAATTGTGAAATATGCAAATCAATGATTTAAAAAAAGTATTTGTGCGGAGACCGCTAGAAACGCTAGATATCGTGGTAGAGTCGCTAGAAAGAAATCGTATATTTCACTTGTAAACAGACAAAAGCGCGTTGAATTTGCAAAGAAGCATATAAATAAATTTCCGGAGTACTGGAACTAAGTGATATTTTCAGACGAAAGCTAGTATTGCATCTTTGGTATAAAAGGTTGTCAAATTATGTGGCGGAAATCAGGAGCGGCGCTAGAGAAACAAAATCTTGTTGTTAAAGTCAAACACGGCGGTGATCAAGTTATGGTATGGGTGTGCATGGTGGCTGATAGTGTAGGCCAGTTGGAATTTATAGAATCGACAATGAATAAATGGGACTATTGTATTTATATTGTATTTGACTTCATTTTAAAAATTTCTACCGATTTTGTCAGATTTTATTGTCAGATTTATTTACATGCAGAGACACTTTAATCCCATTATCTTAAGAACGAACAAACGGATACAATTTTTGTCTTTTCCTATTTAAACTTAAGATTTCAAAGAATAAATTTACGTAAAAATTTAATTTAAAAAATATTTATTTATGTTGTGTTTCTTTATCACATATCAAAATTCGTAAGGTGTACGCAGACTTTATTGACTACGTGTATATATATGTATATGTATATTTCATATATAATTGTAGAAACATTTAAATTCATATAAAATTTATAGAATTGCTGCTATATACATGTGCACTAAAAATAAAACACAGGGGTTGTTTTGGGATGTAGTTGCAATGCAACAGAAGGGTTAAAATTTAAATTTGTAAATTTAAAAAAGTTATTTTATGGAATTTGGCTCCCAAATAAGGAAGATTAATTAACCATAGTCGAAGATCTAGTAAATCGCTTTGATTTTATTATTCGAGTAAACATATACCATATGTATATGTATGCATGCATGTATGTATGTAAACTTTTATTGCTGAATTTTTAAAAATGCTATGTACAGGGATCTTAATCTTTTGCAAAGCCAAAACTATCTTTTAATCAGTATTTTAAAAATACAAAATTAATAAATAATATATTAACAGTGCTTATCATTTTGGTAGCGAAATTTGAAAAATGCCTAACATTTCAGTTTCATTTTTTCTGTGATTTATAATGAAAGTAGGAGCGATTCCGGTAATTTTTATTTTTTTAAATTGTGTTTGCAAATATGTAAATTGTGAGGAAACGAACTGTAGTAAAAGTGTATGGCTGACAGAAATACAGAATATACAAAATAAACTTGATCTCACCGTTAGCCCATGCGATGATTTCTACGAATACGCCTGCGGAAACTGGTTTGTGCCATACAAAGTGCGAGCATTAAATGCAACTGATGTGCTTACAGCAGCTAAGGCTTACAATAAGCGTTTGCTGATGCAGTATATGTCTACCGAACAATCGCCAGAGATTCTGACAAAGGAGCAACAAATATCACATGCAGTGGTTATTTTCTACAATTCATGCATAGAACAGCGCTTCAGAGATACAAAAAATAAGCCAATGATGGCTTTCGTCAACATTCTGCAACAGTTTAGCACTTGGCCGATTATAAACTCTAATTTTGCAGAAAATTCTGCGAATATTTCCTTTAATTGGGAAGATATTGGCGCCCAATTGCGACTTTACGGAGTGCAATCTTTTATGCGCGTTTTGGTGCAGTCAAACTGGCAGGCATCGGACCAAGATATATTCTATATTACGGCACCCACATTTGATTTACTTAAAAAGCATCAATATGATGAAACTTACGATGACGACACTGTATACCTTTATAAACGATATGTAAAGTATTTGATGTTAGATTTAGGTGTGCGTGTGCGCAGATCTAAGGAGATTGCAGAAGAGGTGGTTGAGTTTGAAAAAGAACTCCTGCGTTTGACAACTAATTCGCGGGATATTGAACTGAATGCTCCTCAGACTTTGAAATCATTAATACATCAATTGCCTGAAATAAATTTACGAAAGTATTTTAGTGTCATTTTTCAGAACTTTACTCCATCTAAACTGATTGAACAAGAATTACTTGTCGTTGCCGACTTAAGTTACATGCGGAAATTGGCGGATCTATTAAGAAAATCAAGTGCTGATATTATTGGAAAATACCTACTGGTACAATTTTTAGCGCATTTTGAAGTAAATTTACATGACGATGACATGTCAACCGAATACAAAGACTATTGTCTACAACAGGTGAACACTTATATGCCGAATGAACTAAGTAAATTATTTTTGTATTTGCAACATAACAATAGCGCTGATTTTTTAAAGACTGCCCGAAACGATTTAACTACAATATTTGATCAATTAAAAAATCAATTTGAAAAAGCAGTGAATGCGACTAACATATTTGACCGGGATCCCTCAGGCAGAATGATAGGATTGGAAAAGCTAAGAGCTATGCAACTACGACTGCCGGTTTTACAAGAAAACGAGATTTATGATTTCCAACTCACTGATAATTATTACGAGAATATAATTTATTTATCCAAGTTCAAAACGAAAAAATTGTTGAAACACTTAATGCAAGTGCTTACATCAAGCAATCCAAATGATATAAGCGTAGAAAGTAATTATGGTCCATTAAATGTAAACGCTTATTACCGCCTTACTAAGAACATAATTGAAATTCCTGTAGGAATATTACGAAGCCCTTTTTATAACAATTGCTTTAAGTCTGCGCATTTTTATGGTAGTTTTATTTATATAATTGCACATGAGTTTTTGCATGGCTTCGACTACGATGGTTTGAACTATGATCAATCCGGTAACGTAACCAATGCTTGGAACTCCAAATCTATCATACAGTTCGGCATTAAGTCCCAGTGCTATTTATCCGAGCGTTACAAGAACGCCATACGAACTGTTAATGAAAACATAGCAGACAGTGAAGGCTTACGTCTGGCCTATGACACATTTCGGAACATCGAAGGACCAGCAGTACTCACTGAGGATGACAAAAAACTGTTTTTCATAAGTTTTGCACAAACGTGGTGCGGTGAAAATAATTTAAGTGCCAACAGTGTTCATGCTGGGCACAGTGAGCGTGTAAATAATGCTGTGAGCAATTTCCCAGAATTTGCTGATGCGTTTGCATGTGAAGCTGGTAGTAGCATGCATCCGGACGAAAAATGTAAAATTTGGTGACATAATTGCCATAGGTATTTAAGTGCAAAAACCTTTTATAGAATTTATACAAATTTATTAATATATGTATTATAATAATAACACATAATAAATATTTTTGTGTAAAAAGTTGTTTGTATTTAATATAAATAATTGTTTGCACATAACACCGGAGTATATTATATTTAGTCCACGTCTACTACTAGAACTCACATAACAGAATAGATATAAACAACGCCTTATATTTAAATAAAATTTTGCATTATTATTTACAGAACTTATGACATTCTCGTAATTCGTAACTAATTTAAGAAGATCATTTTTTTCACTTATTTATTTATCAATTATTATTTAATAATGGTTTTTTAAATTTAAGATTCAATATTTACTATTGCAAATAGAATAAGTTTTTTTTTGTTTTTTGGATAAAGAAAATTTTTTCTTGTATTTATGCCGAATAAGGTATAAATTTAGTTTTTATTTATACAAGCAAAATAAGCGAAATAAAATTAATTTTAGGACGTTTTGAGATAGTAATCTTTCACAATTGTACGAATAACAATATTTGATCTCATCATCAAACAAAAAAATATTTAAATAAATTTGGTGCAGGTTCAACACATTCAAATTGGAAAAAAATTTGATTAAATGGCGCTTTTATAAATCCGGATATTTTTTGACTCCCAATCATTATGAAACGCAGTGAATCCCTCCATTGCCGAAAATTGATAGCAAGTCAAATTATTGTGTTCTAGTAAAACTAAAATTCCAATTCTTTTCCTATCTGTAGTATACGAACACAAAGCGGTAGGCTTCAAGAGATGAGTGAATAAATTTTTAAGCTAATAAAAACAGTTGGCAAAATCTTTTTAAAGACATTCTCTTCAGGACTGTCCAAAGTAAGCGTCCGCATCTCTGTACAATCACACAAACTACGATGCAATTTGAAGATACGACGTTAAGAGAAATTAAATATTTAATTAATATTTAATTTAAAAATTAATATTTTATTCATACTCATTTGCTTGAACATGTTTCTTAAAACCGTCATACATACAATATAATAGATCAGTCTTTAAGTATTCTCCATGTCTTGAAGTTGTTTTTGATTAGTGCAAATTTGAATAAAAATATTCTATATGCTACATAAACTGAATCTTTGTGTGAAAAACTATTTTATTTGTTGAAATATATGAAACGACTTAGACTTTTAGGCATTCTACAATTTATATTTTGTATATTACAAACAAATATAGAATAAAATTGAAATGGCATTTCAGAGTTAAGTTAATCTACTTAAATTAAAGTTTCAGATTATCCTGTTTCTCCTGTTGAAAATGCTTTTTAAAACTATCTCCATCTCTTAAATATCTCTTCGATGACAGGTGGGTTAAAATTCAAATCTTAAATATGTACGATGCTCGTATATGTTATATAAACTGATTTTATTTCTAAAAATATATGAAACAAATTGGACAACTTAGAACATTCGATTCATATTTATGGAATATAATTATCGCAAAATTTGAATAAAATCTCGAATCAATAAAACTCGTTTAATTGTATGAGCCTCCTTAGTGCTCTAAGAAGAATATATTGGCAACGAAGTTCTCCATTTACCTAAGCTAGTAACCTTTGGCTATGTAACACAACTGAGTACCTTCATCGTGAGTCATTTTGGTGGCAATGTTCAGCCATCGCTTATAAAATCCTGCCAACCGTCACGGAACGCCAACACTGAACACGGATAAAGTTCAAACTAATTACTTGCCATAAGTCACATATAGATGTCGTTGTACTAACAATATTTACGAAATCAGTCACATTGGATTTTTATAACGCCTATCCTAGTTGAAATAAAAATAAAAGAGAAAAAAGAAAACAGAAGGAAACGACAAATTACCAATCAGCCTGAAGGCTAATCTAAATATGACAAAGTCACAACTGAACTAACACGAATAGAGAAACAAAATAAGGAGAAGAGATTCAAATACTTGTATAACCTGAACAACTATGAATACTATAAATATTATGAATATTAGTAAGCAATGAGAGGCATTCCTATTACTTACTAATAACATATAATGCAAGTAATAATTAATTTGTTAATTCGAAAATTAACTATAAGAACAGGAATTAAAGATTTGTAAAATATGTGCAAAAAGATATTACTGGACAATAGATCCATAGGAGGTCTACGCGGAGTCTACCTAAACCATATTCTAAATAATAATGTTTGTACTTTTAGCTATGTAATGTAATGTAAATAATTTTAATAAAACGTTTTCTAACTTCAAACAATTGTACCAAGTTTAAGTTAAAATAATAGAAGACCCCGTATTGAAACACTGAAATAAAAAACTTTTGCAAAACACGTTTAAACTATATTCACAAATGTTAGAGATACACATAATATTATTATGGCAAATATTCAAAGTACCAACCTTATGGTGAAAAAGTCACTAACTATACTGATATTAAAATTAAACAATTATAAAACAAAAAGGCTTTGATTTAATCAACAAATCAAATCACTCAGTACCTGAGTGAGCTGGTGTTTTTCCGAAATGGACTGTCACTAGTGTCTACATAATCGAAAAATGTATAAATGAGGTAAAGTCAAGTTTTAGAATCTTGCGATTCTTTTATAAATAAAAAAATTAATTTTTTCTTTAGATGAGTACGATTGTAATTTTGTCGGTGTAAAAGTAACTGCTTGAAGGTAATTGCACAAATAAATATTTTGTATATATATACTCACTTAAATGTTTCTCTGCCGAAATTTTTAAAAATATTACATTCCGGGTGTTCTAACAAACGAAACGCTATTGAACAGTGATGATTCTCAAGTGGCGAAATGTCATTGTACCTGAAAATGTAAAATGGAAAAATGAAAATACTGCTAAAATTGATATAAACGTATGCGAGCTTATTTTGCAGCTCCACAGGACATGTCATTGTCAGTAACTGATATAATCAAGTGTGGAATATGTAATAGAAATTCCATGTTAGAATAGTACCCACCTGAGTGCTAATTCTGTACGTGCATTTATTTGATATATGTTATTATACCCAGGATGATCGAGATCATGGCAAATGCAGGATACTAAAAGAATGAGACATTCCAAATCACCGAGACGTTGAAGTAGATTGGCTTTTCGTGTGATAGCGTACATCTATAAGAAATAAAAAAAAACTTTAATATCACTACAATATTTTTAAATAGTTATTTGGCATATGGCATAGAGTAATTTTAATATCTACCGAATGAATTCCTCAGTAGAAACTTAAATTCTATTTTCCTCTCACAACCTTAACTATCACATGCGTGCACATGAACGCAGTATGTATATAAATAGAGTATGTATATTTTTATATTGTTTTTTCTGTTGCTCACATTCCCTTAGAATACATTATAGAATAATAAGTGAAGTTCTGAACATTGAGACTACTGGACTGTTACTTGGAGAATGAAATTTGAATGAAGTTTATTCATAACACAGGTTTGTAAAGGGTTTCCCGTTCGGAGTCTGATTTAGCAGAATTACTGCAGTGGCATTTGTTGTAAAGAACTGTCATGAAAAGCATCATATGTTTAGTTTAAGGTATTCAATTTTACAATATGTTTTCTTTAATAATCGGCCGACGTGTTTTAGTTGTGAAAAGTGGTCTGGATTTAGGGTAGATTCATATTATATTTTGGAAATGGTAATGTTGCGATAGAAGCTGTGAATTTCGAATGCCACAATAACATGATTATCAATTTTTTTGCGTGAAATTGATAATATGGATGTGAAAAATGTGTGGTTTCAACAGAACAGTGCCAAAAAACCCAAAACACTTCTTGCTTTGGATTTGTTGGGAGTTAAGTTATAGTCGACCTATTGCATTTGCAGCGTTAGCACTCATACATCGCTGCAACCATAAATTTAATATAAACGTGTTGACATTAAAAAATTAGAAAATTTAGTGAGAAAAGTAAGTAACAGATACGTTTCCAGTTTTCACTTCAATAAATTGTCAGAATATTAAAAAATAAATACTTGCATAATATATATAGAATTTGTGTGTTTAATTCTGCCACAGAAAGTTGCTATATTTTAGTGTCCTTGACGTTATATAATCGCTCAGCAAACGAACTTATAATGTCGATACAACTGATCGCAATACCACTGATCGCACCTTAGAATAGGTTCAGGTAGATTCGGCTGAGTGAAACTATCCTATTAAAGAAGAGGTGTCGCACATCACGATTAAAATACTTTCTTTTTGGCACGCTAGACCAGAGTTGTGGTTTACGCAGATAGAGTCATAGTTCAGGTGTTACCACAGAGCAGAACAAATTTCATACAGTGGTCGCATCAATCGATGGAGCTATCCTGGCGCAAGTCAGTGATTTGATACTTAACATGCCTGCTGGAAACTCCTACTCCACTCAGAAGAAGCGTTTGCTTGAAGAATTTTTAATTTCCCAGCAAAAAAGGCTGACAAAGCTTTTACAAGACATGGATCTGGGAGACTTGCGTTCTGCTCAACTCTTCCGTAAGTTGAAAAACTTGGCTGGAACGCAAGTGGATGGTGCCTAAGGTCAATGTGGATGACACACTTGCTAGCGAACATGCGTGCCACCATTTCAGTCAGCAGCGAATCTCTAGATAAAATCGTTACCATCGCTGATAAGATCGCCAAAGCGAATGACGCTTGTGCAGTTCAAGAAGTCCGTTTGCCGACAATCACTACGATAACCGATGTTTCGCTTCAGCACCAGATATCGCAGATAACGAAGGAAGTAACCGAGTTAAGGGATGAACTCAGATGTTTTCGCAGCCGTGCAGCTTCAAGCCGAGGTATTATAGCAAGTTTGGTCGCAAGGTCAAGAAGTGTATAGAACCATGCAGTGAAAAGTTAAACTAGATCGTCTGTCTCTAACAGCGATACCAGACAACCAATCTCAAGCATGTCGCCGACTTACTGTATATGATAAAAGCTCAATTCTGAAGTTTTTGGTTGACGCGTGAGCTGAAGTTAGTGTCATTCCACCCAATTCTCAATAAGAACGCCGTTCAGACCAGGATTTATATTTATTCACAGCTAACAAATTTCCAATCAAAACGTTTAGTAGAAAAACGTTTACGCCGCTCTTTACCATCGCTAAGATTTCGCAGCCTATCATAGTCATTATAACCTTGTTGTCAACTTGCGAAATCAGAAATTGCTAGATTACAAATTTATGAATATTTAATAATAATTATTACATATACAAACATACATGTATTGTTACATGTATAGGTAAAGTATGTTACATAGTACAAGTTTTTATATTTCAATACAACTTTGGTACAAAAAATTTTATAATGGTTAATTGCTTGAAGATTGAGTATTTTAATTTAAAATGTTTATTTTTAAAATGGCTGTCGATATTATTGTAGTTTGAGAAAGCCAGTAAATTTGGATAAATTGTTAGAAACGCGAAACAAAAGTTTAAAAGCCTTATCCTACGATGTTATGGGTTCACTTATGTTTTCATTAGATTCCTCTTTTGGAATCGCTTTGTCCTTCAAATTGAATTTTTACCTTGATGTCTTTAGTGTAGACATTTCTGTCTATTGCCATCAGAGTGTCATCTTCGGGATCAAAATCAGGAAGACTTTCATTAATTTGTGATAATCCCCTGCTTTACGGAAACAATTTGGGATTGTTGTTGCTTTTACTTTATCCCAAGGTGCCTCAAGCACATTAATAGATTTCGATAGCTCTGAGACCAACATTGGGTGTCAATTTTACGTAACAAGTGTTTTAAAAGTAAGCTTTGATAAAAAATTTTGAAATTTTGGATTACCCCTTGATTAAGACGCTTCTTACCGTTGTATTTGTATACTAGTAAAATTTAATTCCCTTGGATGTTATCCAAAAACAAAAGAATTTTTCGATTTTGAACATTTCCTTGTTGAACTGTTGCAGCCATTCATTCATTAATTCTCGAGTCACCCATGCTTTTTTGTTAGATTTCCAATCCCCTGACAGTTCCGTGATAAAAACATGTTTAATTGATCGAGGGCGGACTGTTTTACCAATAACCAAAAGCAGCTCTTTATCCTCAACCATGTGTGCAGAAAAAAAAAAGTTGTGAGTCTTTCCTTCGAAAATTTACCGCCGATGCATTTTTTGGATTTAAGAAGAAGAGTTTTGTCAAGTAATGCTGGAAAGAAAAGCCCGCTTTCTGTTCTATTTTGGTCGAAGTAATTTATAAATTATATTAAATTAATTATTGGTCACTAAAATAAATAATTTTGTACAATAATTCCGGTTATTGGAATGATTTTTGTATGAAAAAATTAATAAAAAAGCTATGTCTACGAAATTTGTCCGGTTATTAAAGTTATCTGGTTCAAAGAACTGTCCGTTATGAGAAATTTCACTGCAGTATCATTCAAAATAGTTTTTTTATTTATTTATTCATTTATTATTTGTCAATACAATCTGTAAAATAACATTCAGTATTACTTATGGATGTATGTAGTAAACACCTCTAAAAATTAAATTACAACTTATAATAAGTAGTTGGCTTAAAATCAGTGAATTTGGTGAATCGCATTTTGGATCCTACATAGAAAGTTTTCTTAGTCGACTTGAATGGTTGATATCTGATAATAGCTCGTGTGCTATAGAGTTCAAATGATTTAATAGCCTTGTTCGGTAGTTTTTGCTGACTGTTTGTATTGTTTCAAACATTGATGGGACGTGGAGATTTGTGACATACCTAGCGCAGCAACACATAACCGAAGCATTTCTGATTCAAATCTCTGTAATAATGCTATATTAAATTTCGCAGCTATTCCCCAGATCGAGACACCTTTATATAGAAGTACTTCATTGTTCAGTGATAGTTTTAAATTTTGGCAAAGAAGCCAGTATATGGAGTGCATTTTCAGACCCAGTTGCTTGCGTTTTGTAAATATATGGCGTTTCCAGGTGAGACGCCGATCAAGATGGTCTCCCAGATGCTTTGCGTGGCCGGATTGTGGTAGTACGTTATTATTTAGTGTGATTAGTGGGCAGTAAATATAGCGAAGAGTGGATACTATTCAAAATAGTATAAAAATTTTATTTTATTTTATTTATTTTTTGATATGCACGTATGTGGCCGTAACTCAATTGTTTTTACTAACATTTCACATTTCACATTACATCACAGCTAAGTTTTTGTTTTATTGAGATCAATATTTTTATTTTACTTAATGTGCATCTACACAGAAAATAACATCTAAATAACAGAAAATTAATAATGATACATACAAAAGCAGTGTTCATGGATCTTTTTATTTTACTGCGCCACCTAACGAGAAAGTACACATTTACTTTCATTTCAACAAAATGATGTTCTTCTGTATTTCTACACAAAAGTACTAAACAATACTTAAGGGTTGTGATATCAACTTCCTCATTAAACTATTAACACTGTCACCGAAATTTCAAGCTAAAAATCATAGCAGAATGTACGCGAATTAGCAATTAGTACTTAATAGGCCCTATTTAGTAACTAACTTTTATTATTCGCCGCTAGGGAATGGCAAAGAAGTTAGTTTTGAAAGCGAGAGATGGCACTATTTCGGCGCTTTAAAAACAGCGTTCGGGATCAAGTGATAATATGGAAAAAATGTAGTAAAATAATTCGTGTTCATTGACTCAAATGTTTACAAAATCATTGAAATAATGATGTACATGTACACATCTACATATATTGTTCACAATATTTTTTAAATTTCAGGAACATAAGCCATGCATAGACCTTTTAATTCATTAACCAGACACCAGATAAAATTAAACCTCTCTGTAGCACCAAAAACATTTTTTAAAGATTTGATTGAACCCAGATAAATTGAGATTTAAGCCAGGGCCATATATACCGTTGTTCAAATATAATTGTTTTTCGCTATTAGGCTTGTTTTTCGGTGCTATAGTGCACATATAAAATATTTACTGAACTTGGACTAGAAACTCAATGTCTTCAACATTTATAAAGCTCGGTAGAACTTTCTGAGCATAACTCATAAGTTTTGAGAAAACAAGGAACAATTAAAAGAATAGAATAAAAAAGGCAAAAATTCTGATGTCAGCCAGCAAGCTGTGTTGTCCAAAAGGGTTGTACAAGAACCCTTTTATATGCACCAATAGTGAAAATTTTTTTTAAGATAATGTACAAAATTATATTTTAGTCGCAATGCCTTCATTACTACTTGTAAATTTTACGAATTGCATTTTGCATTTATTAACCAGGTCAGGTCTCAGTAACTATTTTTGATTTTCTTGAAACAAATGTTGTTTTGACTCGTAACTTTTCGTCTGGCCACGAATATATGGCCTTTCATATTTTATATTTCATATGCTCAATTGCTTATTTGAAAGTCACATTTATTATTATCTTATATTATTAAAGCTCAATTAATATTTAAAATCACTAAGTTGTTCTCTTACCTTTTGGAATCTTATGGTACTTCTCGCATATATCAAAATTAAAATAAAATTAAAATAGAATTAAAATAAATTTCGTGAAAAGTTCTCTTTATAAAATTGCTTCCACGGCGTCAGTTAGGCTTTTTTTATTAGGTAAATAATTTCGCTATTTTGCCACTTAACGTTTTTTATAATAGCTTTTCCAAACATATTAACATAAACACAAAAGTTATAATACAAACAAAACCACACGTACATATGTTAGTTTCACCCAAAATTACTTATAATTAATAAAAGAGAAAATACATTCCTCTTAAAATATACTAAGGTTCAGAAAAAAACTGCACCACGCTGCTTACAAAGCATGCAAATGAAATAACATTCACATTGGGACTATGTTCTGTATTGAATAAACACAAAACATACAAACAAACATAAAAATAATAGAGAAAACAAGCCCCGCAAAATATGTACGTAAAATAATCATAACTCTTAAATTAATGCGTGCAAGCGGTTCAATAAAAAAAGTGAACCTCCAATGTTATGCAAAGTAAATACAAAAGTGAAAAGAAATGACTGAGCGAAAATCGTTTTACATTTGACTAGAAGTTCAGTCGACTAAATTGAAGCCCAAGTTCATACGAAGCGTGTAAATACAATCAAAGTCACGGTTGCCGTTTTATATGGGCAAATGGTTCAGTAAAAAAATTGAACCGCGCATAGTAAATACAAAGTAAAAGAGTATATGAATGCATGAGAGTTTCTTACTCTTATGTAGAGATTGGACATAAACCAAAAACAAAGTCATTATTGCAATTTTATACTAGGAAATGATAAAAGTAAAGAAAAAAATTAAAGAAATTTGAAGTAAAAAATAATATTTAGAAATGGATAAAGATTTGATTCAAATATCTTTTTTTAAACGATCTTCTGAAAAAAAAGTTTTAATTCATAAAATGAATATACCAACTCTAAATATGAAGAATTTGGTACCTGTGTAAAAATGTCGTAATATGTGGTAAGTCGCCGTTTTCTTACAGCTATTTACCATAAAAACCAGTGGATCACAGGCTGCGAACATTTAAATAAATTGTTTTGTTGGTCTTGTACGCTATGTGCTTGTGGAAAGGACAAAACTCAGGAGTAGGGGGAATACGTTACAGTTGGAATTCTGTTTTGATCAAATTGTGAACACCTCGCCAAAAAGTTGACGCCTCGCTACTGAATATTACCAACATATATTTAAGGATATATTTATTTTAATATTTCTATATTTTAATATTCTATTTGGTTAGCTAGTTTTAATCCTGCTCCACTATGCATCGGGAGGAAGATGCTCTTATAAATATCTTTATAGTTTACAATGTATTTACACATATGGCGGCTCAGTTTTTACAATCAAAACGGTTTTTGACCTCATCACCTACGATTTAAATATACAATCCAGGAAGTCAAATCACAAAAAAAATCAGCAAACCAAATATTTGAAAACGTAAGGATCTTAAGTGTAGAATAATAGGACGGTGGCACATGCAGCCAAAATTGAGCCATTTTTTAAGAATTAAGAGTAAAGTAAATAGAGGTAAAACTAGGATAAAAGTAGTTAAAAGGCATCTTTTGCTTGCTCGCTTTACTGAGTTAAGAGTTCAAAAAGTTAGTAGAAAACATCAGTAGCGCAAAATAGGCAAGTTTTGTGCTGTTAAAATAAGTTGAAAATGTTGCTTTTTAAATAATTAAACATTTTTGTTACTTATTTCACTTTTTATCAGTCTAACTATGAACAAACACTGAACAACCCTAGCGAGTCCATAAGATAATTGCAATTTTTAGCTCATGCGGAAAATATTTGAAAATATGTGTAGAAATGTAACTGGGAGGAAAAGAAGAGCACATACTGGGAGGTATGTGATGCATATGCAAGTCTTTCAAAAGAAATCTACCTACATATATAGTCATATGTATACTGTGTCTATATATCTATATGTTGACTGCGTGCATATCGATTACATGTCCTACTATTTTTAGCACAAGAAAAGTAGCAGAAATGCACATAAAAATAACAACGTACGAGTAAAACCTTTGTTATCCTTTTTAACATGTGCAAGCGTATACTTAGGAAACTGTTGTACTTAAAATGGTAGTTTCTCTCATCCAAAACTTGCGTTATAGTCGTACTTTTACTCGTAATATTTTTTCTTCATGCTTGAAGTCCAGATTCTGAAATGCAGAGAAATGCGCATTTCATCACTTAACATACATTGTTCCATCTTTGAATTTAACGTTTTTGTTTATTTTTCACGGTAAACTAAATTTAAATTATATCTATTAATAAAACTAACATACATTTTTTTATTTTTAAAAATTTGAATAACAAAGTAATATGGCAATTTAATAATGAATGCAAAATTGTTGCTATCGTTACTAAGAACTGTTAACATTGTCGGTGTCAACTTTCATAACACACACAGGAAATGAGTGAAATGTTGAACTTTTTCCTTCTAAGCATGTGATGAACGACCTCTTTAATCTGCGAAAAAATGCTATAAATCTAAAAACTGCAAGCACTTCACCTATTCCAATTATTCTGTTTTTATTAACTACGACATTCGAAAAATGTTGAGTCAAATGGATCTATAGTGTGCGGATTACATTAATAACGCATCTAAAATGGCAGCGTAAGATAAAAAAATAAAAATAGCTTGAAGCATATTACGCCATTCTGTTGACAGCGACCCAAATCACTCTACAGCCCGAATAGATAACAGAGTGCTCGCATCCAACTTTTTCACTCATTTTCTTTCTTTGCTCTCTTCATTAGGCCAATTATTTGAATCAGAGCACTTGAATAGCATTTTGCAGTGAATATTGCCTTTTTTCTGAAAGTGTGGCAAAATCCCATTTCTTAAGCTCTTAGAATTCATTTGAAGTTTACTGTGCGTATTTTAAATTTGATTTCCTGTGCAAATTGTTTTCGTAAATCCCGTCCTAAGACAGATGAACAATCTCCATCGATCTTGCAATTAATATTGAAAAATAGTAGGGTCTTGTAAAGTCATTGCAAGGTGCACGAAATGCAAGAATACTATACTGAAATTGCACGAGTGCAATTTCAAAATTGCAACAAAAAAATAAAACAAGTGTTTGCAGTGTACCACATGCACCACATGAGAAGTAACTAATGTCAAAACAGCTGTTTTTTTTCTTTTTTGTTTCGTTGCAAGCATATATATTATACATGGGTATAGATGTAGTAAGATTGCAAGTAATTGCAAAAAACTTTGGGCACATATTTTGTTGTTGCCCATTGCAAGCTCGTGCAATCTGTGCATTTCATGCACCTTGCAATGAGTTTGCAAGACAGAGTGAAAAACTTAGTGTATTACAGATCATATACTAGGTTTGTTCTATGAGCTGCACGTAGTAAAACTCAAGTAAAAAATAGGTAAAGTACAAACTGAATATATAAAAAAAATATATACAAAATATATACAAAAATTTAAATATATACTAAAATATCTGATTCACACAACACACAAGTTTCACTTGAAATAAAATGTACGAGTAAAGTCTGTGTAGCATTTTCAAATATCGACAAAAATTTGCATTCCGAGCATTTGCTGGTAGAACGCATTTGTGTATACACAGTGTTACTCAAAGTTACTACGAGTATCTCCAGGAAGACACCTATTATATTGCAAATATGCACCTTCATTTATAACATTTTCATTCCTCGATATATTTTTAGTTGGGTTATTAAATAAGTTGAATTGTTTGTTACAAAACAAATAACTAATATAATTAAGTAATAATCGGTATGTAGTAGACAGTAAATATCTCATTTAATTTCTATATGGCTCTCCATATACCATAATTCAGCCTTTTTTATGTGTGTAAAGATAATACGAATTAATATACAGTAAACGCAAATCAATTAGAAATACTTATATAAAATATAAATAATATAATATATATTATAATATATAATTATTGATATAAATATATTTATATATATTTATAGATAAATTTATAATTTATATAATTTATAGATATTTGAGATAAATCAAAAAATATTGAGAACATTTAATTTTTCAAAAGAGCTTTAGTTACGATAAAAAAGGTGCACTAATTTATTATTAAAAAAAGTTTTATAAGCTACTTAAAGATATTGGTGGAGTTTTTTAAGTACATTTTGTCATCAAATCTGCATCTATTTTACATTTACTTACCATTTGAGCAACGCAGAAGCAATGCCGAAAATTGTGGAAAGGTACCTCATTATAATGTTTGTACACTTCATAAAGCCACTCTCGTAAAGTTTCTATAGGAATGTTGAACTTTTCCATAAATCCCAATTCAACGAACATTGTTTGCATCAAGCGTATAACATCTGCATCACTCCATTGGTATGAATCGAACGCAGGCAAACGAAGGGCTGCTTTAACTTCGTCGGAAAATGTGTTATCACATATTTCCAGAAAGCATTTCTTAACTTCCTGGTGCTTTGGTAAACTGCTTTTGCGGTGCGGTGGAGCCAATGGACGTTTGGAAAGACCTGCAATATCAAAGAACATAAATGATAATATAATATATTTTATTATATATTTGAAAAAATTTAATATGAAATCTAAATTAGTAAATGATATTAAATTATTGAAATCAACAGAAATTAATAGATGTAATTATTATTCTAATTCTAAGAAAACTTAGTCAATCAAACAGGTTTAAGGCACTTTCAGGAATTTGGGTTCCTGGAAAACCATCTTGCAAAAGATACATAAAGCTTTATGTGAGAAAAAATTAATGGGAATAGTAATAATTGTTTGAACCCAACGCCTTTCATAAAGTATGGCGTGACGGATTAAAAATTAAGTTTAAAAAATATGGGATCGCAAATTACCTAATCTATTCAATCTTATCAATAGTATCAAAATTACGCAGATTTAAAGATAAAACACAAAGCTACTGTTTCACACATAGAAAAATTAAAGCTGCAGTATTTCAAAGTTCCCCTATATCTAACTTAATCTACACCTATACCTAACTCATTTATCAGTTATGGCTTTCTTTATGCATGTATGGCTTTCATGAATGTACAATATTTGCTGTTTTAGAGTTTGAAGCAGTTTTCTGGTATGTAAAAAATTAATATATGCAACAGGACACAAAAATTGCACATTTTGAAGAACATGTTTCGCATCGAGTATCTTAAAAGATACTGTGAGTAGTTAATTACGTTTGTTATATCTATAAAAAATTCCAAGACAGCTGAATAAAATGAGATCGTTACATGTGACTACAATGGGGCGGAACTTTATGCATCTGCTTTAGTTCAAATAAGTTAATATTCGTAGCAGCTATTTATAATCACAATTGTGAAAGCTTAGCATAGGAAGAACCAAATAGATCAAGGAATTTCTCGATGTGTATTTAAAAAAACTTATACCTCTACATACACATTTACATATTTGTACATATATAAGTATAAATATATATATATAGATACATAGCAGAATTTGTACAAATATATATATATATATATTTACACTCATTCATTAATGTTGCTGAGGGATTCAGATAAAAGTAGCAGAAAGTAACTAATTATAAAACTTTGTATTCTCTTAGTTTTAGAATTATTAATCGCAATAACTATTTTCATTTAAAACAATATAAATGAGTTAAACTTTCAATATGTGTAAAGTTTTTATTTAATTTTTTCATAGTTCAAAGTAAAACAAAGAAGTGTACGCGAAACCGTATAAAAATCATAATAAAAACCAAAGTAAAAGTTTAACATTCAATTGTTGAACTTTTTGATTTAGAAGGATTTCTCATATAAAAAACTTGGCTAAGTACATGGCAGTTGGCAAAGTCTTATTATTATCATTTAATGTATTTTACTTAACAAAGCTCAATTGATGTCAACGAATGGAATTAAATATTATTGTAGTAAAACTTTGTGGTGTCAAAAACTTTCAACTCTCAACTTTCAACTTTATTATTGCAAATATTCTTCGTCTCAAAAGTATCTTACTTCTGCTTTGACTGATTTTCAAATAAAAATTTCCTTCTTTGCCATTAAAGTTTATTTCCTCGTTTACAGTTTTTAGAGTTTCGAGAATATATTGCAGTTTAAATTTTTAAATAAGATTTTTTCAGATTTTAAAAGCCATGTAAAATGGCTATATTGTCTTCCATTCCAAGTTCTTTATGCACCTAAAGATTCCTTGATTTCATTTTTATTGCAATTTTGAATATATTGTGCGTTTGGGTATCGTGATTTTTCTACATCATTTTAATAAACACTTCATCTTGTTTTTAATGGCATATTTCTATCTGGGGTTTTCATTTAACTGAGTTTAAACACATTCAGCCTTGTTTATTTGACAATATGTGATTTAGCACGAGTGAAAAATCTTAAAATTTCTTGTTACTTCTTCAAATAAGTTGGACTTTCGCATAAACAGAGAACTAATAGTATTGCACAGTGACGTTTCAAAAAAAGCTTAACGTAAGCTTAACGGTAAATATTGTTCTATTCTAGCGATAAAGATGGCAAATATGTTTCTCGTAGAATATTTCTTGTTATATTCTCGAACCGCAAATGTTGTTTTGCTCAGTGTCTTAACTTAAAGTCATAATCAGAGCAAGATTTTAGTGAATTTTTTTTGCAATTTTCGCATGCAAAAAAGGGGTGAAAAATTTGCAACAATAACTGATATTTTATACTAGTTTGTTTTTAATTTGTTAATGCATACATACATATGAGCAAAGTTGTGCCACATACATACATATATGGCAAACATATGTATATGTTGACATACAGACGCTGTACTAAATAAATGTTTACTAAAATTTTGAAACTCGTCCGTACGAACGTAAGAATATATAAACAACAGAGTGTAGAGAATAGTACAGCATAAAAACAAAAATAATACAAGTCCAATCCGATCACTAAATGCTTCGTACACAATTGCTATTGATAACTGTTTGCATCAGCTGATACAAGATTTCCTAAGTTACCACTTATTTTTTCGAATGAATGAATCGAACGAATAATCATATACATTGTTTTTTATGAGCTAGAATGGGTCAGCAGACTTCTTACAGCAGAGCAAAGGAAAATCACATTTTTCAAATAAGTTTTTATTCAATGCAAAATAAAGATCTGCTTTCAACTTTCGGGATAAGTGAGCATAAACGCTTTCACTATAAATTCCCGAGTTCATCTGTTGCAATAACAAGAAGATGCTATTTTAATTATTCCACAGTAGTAAAAGGTGAATGGGTTTATTTCCACTGTTTGCTTTAGTTGGTATGTATGTTATCAGCCAGAGAATTCTTATTTTTGAATTTGTTTCCATTGATTCAAATTTTTTAAAACTGTGTTACATTATACTAATGAAACTTGCAAAAAAAAAAAATAAAAAATAAAAAATTCACGTATGTAGTGTAATTGTCCATACCTATCTACACTAAATCACGTTTTTATAAATTGAAACAAGAGTCAATAGCTTGTTACAGTATAAAGTGGACCTGTTGTTTTATTAATTTATTTTGTAAAGTTATTATTTTTACACATGTTATAAAAACTATTTCACCGACTGATCATAGTCTCCAAGATTTGACTGACTTCCCATAGTCTACAATATTGGCTGCTCTTTGTCTCAAGATTGACTGATCTATAACTTATTCTATAGATTGACTGATCTATAACTGATCTATATTCTAGACCGAAGAAAGTTCGGTTTCCTTATTTACTAAGAACGCTTCGTACAATTATATGCGTTCTACTTGTATACTTATCTTCTACTGGTTATAAGTATTTACAAAATCTTATGTATTAGAATCATTGGTCAGTCTTACTCATGTTATATTTATGTCACAGTGGCACACATATGGTTGCCAGTTGTAACGCGGGCAAATCATATTCCATCCATATTTACTTGCGATATGGTTCCGGAAAACACTTAACATACTCTATAGAAGAACTTGACCCAAATTGTCAAGCGCATATTCGAATAATTAAATATGCAGCGAAACTGCTTGTCGTAAAGATATGAGAAATAGTCAAGTCAGATTTTCAGCTCATGAATAATTTTAAATTTGACATTTTGGGATATACGATAACAATTGTAACTTGTGTTTTGGGTTGGCGTGTCTTAATAATTACTTCACACAGCACCTTGTGTGTGGTTATGGTTCCAGTATAACCATATGACACTACAGTAGTACGCACATGGGGCGTTCAGTGATGATGTTTTCAATATCTGATTATGAGAATTTCTTATTCATTTTCACCAGATACCAAAAATACGATCTAAATTTATTCAATTTTCGTAATGTTCGAACAATTGTTACTGGTGTTTCACTACGAAACGAAATCTTTACACGACATCTGGCGATAAGTAGCAAATATAACATTTACGTTGATAATACAAACAACGTCAGATGGCGCTATAATATTGTCACCACAGACAAATAATACACAGATTGCGAAGAATCTAGAGTACAAAGAAGTGCCACGCTCATACAAACGAAATACCCACTTTATTTTGCTGGTGGATTTATAATAAATCCACCCAACCTCATGCAACGATGTTCGATCGAATCACAACTGGTATGATGTTCAGTTCAAACTCATTGCAACCCACAATTGTTTCTATACGCCTGTTTCTTTTGCCTTTCTTGTTTTTATTTTTCTATTTTATTAATATACACTGATTAGTAGTGAAGTGAATGGTAAAGAAATCCCTGAAACAATTTTTCCATTTACTTTGTTGCTTTATCTTCTTGTACTGGAATGGCCCATATCATAGGAGTGAAGAGTAATATAATATATTATTTTTTTATTGCAACAAATGATACAGTTTTTTGGTGTCCATATACATTTATATTAGACATTTAAAATTTATTCATACTTAGTTTGATTTGTTCAAAAAGATTAAAGTCTCTAAAATGAATCGTAAAACGATTGCGGGTAATAAGTATTGTTTACCTCATTGCAAGAGATCCAAAAAATCTTTTCCCGATTTAAAACTATTTAAATTTCGCATGGACAACATTAAAATATAAAACTTCATAGAATGGAAAAATCTGATTTGAGACAAATACACTACAATTCATAACAGTATCAAACAGGTAATTTTGTTTTTATTTTATACTATTAAATTCAAAACATTATCAAATGTTCACAATTTTGATTTCGTCACTGAAATGCTGTTTGATCGCTTGAACATTTTGCAGCGAACAAACTTACAAACATGCGTATAATGTAATACAGAGGATTGCATTGCATGTATGATTGAATACGTATACAGAAGGGATTTTCAGCCTTATTCGACTCACATATAGGTTTGAACTGAACATCATACCAGTTGTGACTCGATCGAACATTGTTGCATGAGGTTGGGTGGATTTATTATAAATCCACCAGCAAAAAAAGATGGTATTTCGTTTGTATGAGCGTGTCGCTTCTTTGTACTCTAGATTCTTTATTATGAGGTAAGTAAACACCGGCAGTAGCCCAACCGTAGTTGTTGTTAGTGCAAATGA